TTTCGGCTATGCGCGGTCGGCAAGTGGTTAATGCTACTACTGTGGTTTATTTTTGGTGCAAACATTGCATTTTGACAAGAATGTATAATGGAACTTATTTTTAGAAACTGGTTTAAAGGTGCAGCTGGAGCTCCAGTGTTAGTATTTAGAATTTTAATTTTCATTAAAGTGGTATTAAACCCAAAAGCAAACATTTATTATATTGCAGCTTACCAATTCTTAGATGCGAGAGCTGCATTCAATTTTAGGCTTTCTTTCTTCTATTTTCATCTGGTGATAGAGCCAGTAAGTCTGTTGTTTTGCAAAATAACAAGCTATCCAGAAAAATTTATCAATTACAGAGATGGAACAAACCATTTATCAGGGGTGCTCACAAAGATCACCTTTTATGTAAAAACTTTGTCCCAAAGGAAAAAAAATGCTTGCTGCAACTGTATATAAAGTATTAGCTGGAGTTTGGTTACAAATTGTTAGTGTATTTAACCACTTCAACACCACCATACCAGGGGTGGACTGACCATTTGGAAACCCGGGCACTGCCCGAGGGCCCGGGGTCAGTAGGGGGCCCCATGAGATGCCCCTGGTACCTTTTTCATAGGCTTTTTTGAGTTTGGGCAAGGACACAGGGGCCCCATGATCCCCTATTGCCCGGGGGAAGAGAACCCCCATGAGTTGTCAGTCCGCCCCTGCACCATACATATATGTGACGGACACCCCACCTGGGTGCTTCCTTCAGAGAACTGCTTCCTTGCGGCAGGGACACAGGACCAAGGTATTATAGCTGGGCATTGCACCCAAGGACTAGACAACTCTAGCTTAGCTGCAACGGGAACTGTTTGTTGAACAGAAATTCACATTTTTATACACTTAAGCAATAGTGGTAGTCCCCACATGTACAATAAAGTCAAACATTACACTTTGGGATAAACATCCCACACTGATTAAGTAATAAGGTCAAGTTTGACACAAGACTAGTCCCATCATGTAGGAACCTCCAGGAGGACTAGCCAACAGACAGAAACAATAGGTGACTGAATTAACTCAATTAACAAATGAAACAAAGACACAATGGTAAAAACATCACACCTAAATAAACAGATTACAGCTAGAGACTTCAGCATCAGGTTGTTTTGAACTGATGATATTAACATTTGCTTAGAGTCTCTGAGTCTAGGGGGAGGGTTGAAACAGTCAATGCTGGTTTGGGCACAGAGACCCCAAATCTGAATCCTGGTCTTCCAGTTTTGGGAAGACACGTACTAGAATCTGAAGTAAAACTACGCCAAAATATCCCCCAGGAACACACCTCCCAAAGAATAGAGCCCACTCAAACTCCTGGGCCCATAGTCAGTGAGCAAGAGGCTAGCCTGCAGTCTTTTCTAAAAGACCCTGTCCCGGCTGGGTCTGTTACAGTATTTATGCCTTTAAATGCCTGGTATTGAAGTGGTTGTACTGGGATCATAGTTGAGGTTACAGCCATGATCCTGGTATATTTTTTTCAAGCAGGTGATCCCCTTTTTTTTTGTAAAAGTAATCCAAAAGGCTATGCAGTCGCTGGATTACTTTTACTAGTGGTGGAAGGGGGTCCACCGCCGCCTTTACCAGGCTCTCCCCTCCAATGTGGGAGCCCAGTAAATATGTGACTAGCAGCATCAGCTCCACATTAAATGATTGCTAAGCTGCAATATATTACATTTTTGGTTTTGAGTTTAATACCCCTTTAACTGGTAAAATTACTGGTAATGTCTGTTACAATGAAAAATGAGAATTTGCAACTTTAGTAAATGTATCCTTCTTGGACCAGCACGTTAGTGTTCAATGACAAACAGAACATTAGGATGGGGCTTTCCGCTCTTAAAGACCAATAGAAAACCTAAAGTTCTTTTAGGTGTCTATAACAGGTAACAGAGTATTAGAGCTTGTATTAGAGCAATGGGAAACATAAGCTTTAACAAAGCGTTTTCAGAGCTTTCAGAGAACTTCCTTGAAGCCTTTAAAATACCATTTAGATCCAGTTTGGGAATGTCAAATGCATATCTTAATAGCAGTGCCAACTTTAAATGCTAGCAGATTTTCAACAAGCTTTCTGGTAGTGCTGAACCATACTGAAGTCTGCTAGCAGCTTGTTTAAATTGACAGTCAGCACTCCCTTTAATTCCTGTGTCTAAAGTCCCAACACTGAAACTGAGGGTTTTTTTAACAGTGTATTGACACTTCTTTAACAAGCTGCTTGACACCTGCAGAAAGCTTCACAAATGAATTGCAAATGCTTGCCATAAGTTTAACCAAAGGTAGCTGTACACACTGCACTCATACAAACTAAAGCTCTGTGAACAAGGCATAAAAGGTAAAAAATGGCCAGTCTCATGGGTGGCCCCTCAGCATAGGTGAAGATGTTGTTAGACTTGATCTTTTTGCTCTGTCCAGACAATTGACTGAAGATTAGATGATGAACTCCTGATGGTATCAATTTAGCAAGGTGCATCTGAAAGGCTTAGATACCTTGTGCCTAGGAAATGTTGGAGGTTATTTTTTTTATATCTAACTTCATGATTTAACTATACAGTAATTTTTCTGGAGTGTTTATCTTCTGCTTTCCTTTTATGTGAACTTCATTTACAGATTACTAGCTCATCATGTATATAATTATGAGATAAAATGATCATCACATTGCAGAGTAAGTTAGAGTTCAACTTTAAAAATTGTAAGGTAAAAAAAAAACCACTTCCAGCACAATGGTTATTTATAAAGCGCCAAAGTTCACAGCGCTTCCAGCCTCAACGATCCTTTTTTCTGATGATGATATAATGAGTATTGAGCTAAAATGCACAGAGATCCAACCAACTTCACAACCCCCCACAGAACTGTCCTCTTTCCCCTTTACACCCCCACAACACTAACTCCCCCTTTACACACAGCACACCCAGAGCACATCCAGAGTAGTGTCCTCTGCCCCCCTTCACTCTCCTACCTTGGAAAGAGCAGAGAGCGGGAGGCAGAATATTTCTAGACTGAGTGCAGGAGGCACAGCATTGAATGGAGTGCAAGAGGGGGAGCTGCCAGGGTTAACGTTTTGTATTACCAGCAAGTGATTGGTTGCTAGGACCGTCCTGCATCCTAGCAACAAGGGATGCACCAAAAACACCCCTTTTGGCCATAGGCAGATATGAAAAAAGCACCGATACAGGTGTCGAAAAAACCCCAACCCCCGCTGCCGCCCCTCGCCCCCTCTCACTGCTGCCGCCACCGGCCACCGCTCGGTAGCCTTACCTGAGAAACCATCAAAGATCATAGAGATTAGTGAAGGAAAGATGGCCTCCACTCATCTCTATGCCCTTGGAGGAGAGGAGTGATGTAACTTCCGATTCCGGCCATTTTTTTTTTTTCAAAGCACTAGGATCAATGCTTTTTTTGATTTTAATGCTTTACATTGCAGAGGAGAGATGTGGGGTCTTATTGACCCACATTTCTCCATAAAGAGGACCTGTCATTAATTATTTCTATCACAAGGGATGCATGCATTCCTTGTGATAAAGAATAAAAGTGATTAAACATTTTTTTTAAAGGGACAGTGCAAAAAAACCCCAAAAAACATCAAATAAATAAAAAAAAAAGTTTAAAGTGCCCCCATCCCCTGTGCTTGCACGTAGTGGTGAACGTATACGTAGGCCATGCCCACATATGTAAATGGTGTTCAAACCACACATGTGAGGTATCACCATGAACATTGGAGCAAGAGCAATAATTCTCACACTAGACCTCCTCTGTAACTTTACACTACTAACCTGTAGACATTTTTAAAGCATCACCCATGGCGATTTTTAAGTCCTACAGTTTCACGCCATTCCATGTGCATGCTCAATTTTAAAGCCTGACATGTTGGGTATCTATTTACTTGCCGTAACATCCTCTTTCATATTTTACAAAAAAATTGGGTTATATATTGTGTGTTTTTTTGTTTTTTTAATCAAAGTTTATTTTTTTCCAAAAAACATTCATTTTTAAAAACTGGGCATTTCGGTTTTTGGCCAAGTGCATTTTGAATTTTCGTTTTGGGTTTCGGCACCAGAATTTTCATTACGGTGCACCACTACTAGCAACCAACCACCTGCTGGTTGAGAGCAGCTCCTGCTTCTGCTCCCGTACTCTGATCAATGATGTGCTGTGTCTAGAAATGTTCTGTCTCCTGCTCTCCGCTCTGCTGTTATAATAACAGTGGCAAAAGCGGGGGGAAAAAAAATGGATCCCAAATGGTGCAACCACAGGACCGGATGGGACAGTTGCTCGGTCCTCATCTATACCTTGGTCTGCCATTTAGTGATGCCTGATGTATAATATAGAACAAGCTGGGAGACACTATAAAAGACGTTTGTTTAAGGCTCCCCTAGGAGAATATTTTTGAAGGTAGCAATCTGTAATAGGTAATAGCAGTAAGATTTAAATAAAAAACTATTCACAATTTGGTTTATGCAAAATTATGAATTCAGTTTTAAATTATAAGTATGCTCAGGATACCTATATAAGATTTATATTTGCTCCTTAATTAGCTTACCCTACTCTGTGGGAGAGTTACAGCTCTGAGAGTTGGGGAGAGAGTTATGCTATTTACACATGTAAAGTTTTTTTTTTTCGTTCAGCCTAGTGGGCTGAAATAAAAAAGAAAAAACAAAAAAATGAGAGGTTTCCATACTAACTCTGCAATGTTAGAGCGATCTCCCCTGCTGAGCTATTGTGTTGTGATAGGGATACTGCCTTCCTCCCTGCCAGGACACACTGATCAGCTGATCAGGTTCTGGTTTTCCAGCATGCATGTGTGACAGAAGTCAGTTATGAAACCAGCTTCTGTTGGACAGGCAGCTGTAGACAAAGTTGGACGGTTCTTCTTATTATTATTATTACATACTGCCATCAATGTACGCAGCACTTTACATATTGTGGCAGTGCGGTATCCTGCCACGGTGGAAATCATGGTGGTGACCCAGGATTCTCGACTATACAGGTTGAGGGGCTCCAGGCAGTTCTCTTAATGCAGAGGAAACTGGTTTATGAGTTTCCTCTTTGATTTGTAAAGCCTGTTTTGGGACCTGTGCCTGGAGATTTCTAAGAGATTTGGGAGGGATGAAATCTCCAATCCTGGGTCCAGAGTTTGAAAGCAGCCAGCACACTAATGGTACAGGTGTGTGCAGGGCTTTCAATGAGTGTCTCTGTGTGAGACTGATGCTGTGTGCGTTCAAGGACTTTAAGGCTGTGTGCGGACCAAGGACTCCACGGCTGTGTACGTTGGAGGGCTCCACCCCGGCAGGCAGGAGGTCACTGCCTTGGAGTCAGGTGGGATTTACCTAGGAGAGGTGGAAGCCAGAGTAGCTGTGTGCTAGGGGCTAGCTGTGTGTTAAAGGCCCTTTTGGAAGGCGTCTGTAGGAGACAGCGGTATACCTTAGAGAGCCAGAAGGCTGAATATCGTTTCAATTGTTTGATGGTGGATACCCCTACGTGGGAAGCATTTTTGTTATTGAACTTTCTTTTAAATAAAATTGGGCTAAAAGGCCTTAAAAGGAAATAAAGTGAGTGTCTATGTGCTGGAAAAGCTCTACCATTTTGATGCGAGTTCCCACAATATATATATATATATATATATATATATATATTATGTACATTCACATCAGTTCTTAACCCTCAAGGGACGTACAATCTAAGGTCCCTAACTTACATTCATAAATACACATACTAGGGCCAAATTAGACAGGAGCCAATTCACCTACCAGCATGTCTTCTGAGAGTGGGAGGAAACCGGAGTACCCAGAGGAAACCCACGCAGGCACTGGGAGAACATGCAAACTCCAGGCAGGTGGTGCCGTGGTTGGGATTCAAACCAACAACCCTACCACTACCAGGCGGAAGTGTTAACCATTTAGCCACTGTGCTGCCCTCTCTTGCTGAACCGACAGTTTTAGGATGATTTTTGGCCTGTGTATACCTAGCTTTACTCTGCCACCTGCCTCATCTCATGCTGATAGTACAGGTTGTTTATCCTGAACAGTATCTCAGAAAGTGAAATGTTAACAGTTACGAAAGTGTGTTGATATGGTTACCAAGAGGCTGAAAGATAGCATATATGATCAACCCATGTGCCCAAAGGTTCTTTTTAAAGTCGAAGTATAGGCTAAATATAAGTCTTGTTAAACCTTTGCCCCTCTTTTCTCCTGCGTATGCTGCATACTGTTTATAAAAGGGAGCAGTGTAGGTACCTTTTCTTTGATCCAATTCAGTGCAGAGATATAATGCAGAAGCAGCAACTCTCCTGTGTTATTGAGCAACTGCATCAGGAGAGGGAGCTTTCTGACATAGGGGGAATGCTGCACGTGTATGGCAGTAAGGCATGCCTTACTGCAATGCATAGGTGTGAAAATAGCCTTACTGATTAACCTCCAGCAGTTTCCACTGCATGTTGAGGTACTAAAAATTATTTGTGTACTCTTGCAGTAAATTGGAAAACTAATTTCCAAAATATTTTAGACCAAATCCATCCTTAATATATCCCAGAGTAATTGACTTCTTATCATTTAGCATTTTTGTAATTTTGCTTTAAAAACAGTTGCCGTTATACTACAGTCATTAACGATACTATGGACGGATTATGTATCTATTACTGAAGTCATGATCAATTACTGATGCATTACATAAATTAAATATGACTTTTTTCCCCTACAGTTTTCAGGCTAAGTTCATTCCAAAGCCATTTGATAAAAATATTTCTATTTAACATCATGTTTGCAGCCCTAAAGCAATGTACATGTTTGAAACATTTGTATTTGCCTTTTTAACTCTAAATTAAAAACCTCATTCTCAGAGGACAGAGTAGATAGATGGTAGAATGTTTGCCAAAGATATAGCTGATCTGAGCATTACATGACAATCTGACTACGTAGAAAAGAGGATTTAAGCAAGCATGCTTGCCTTAATTCCAAAGAACTTGTCATTACTTTTTTTTTTTACTTTATCATTACGAATTTTCCAGCATATTGAACTGTTGACACAATTGTTGAGAGATTGCACCCCCTGCATAAAAAATTAACCACAGCTTTCATTACAAATGCACCAAGGTGTAGAATAACCTCAGCTGGGTTATAACATGGCAGGTTAAGCAGTGTAGTAATTATGACAAAGGTAAGCAGATTATTCATCTCCCGTATTTACTGATAAGAGATTTCATCAACAACAGCTAAACTAATTCTGGCCATACACATACCTTTCAAATAATTCAATCAAATATTATTGTGATCAAATATATTAGTTACAGATCAGTTTTTTTTATCACCATTTCAACCACTTTTAACTAATTGTATGGGTTGAATTAAAAGAGAAGTATGGCCAAAGCTCTTATACTTATGTACTCATCCTGTGACCCAGATTGTGCTGACAGTGGGCTAAAATCTGCTGTGGGCTGACGTCACAGAGCTGGTCCAGGCTATTCAGGGAAACTACAAATAATGTGGCCCCCTGAGAGCCTGAGCCAGCCAATCCCACCCCCCTCCACAATCTGGCGCTCCTGTGCTTAGAGCAGACAGGAGAACTGAGCGATCAGTGGCCTTTGATCAGTCATTTCTCAGGCTAGAGCTGGAGGGGACATCTGCAGCATCAGATGTTTTTTTTTAAATCTCCACACTTCTCTTTTAAAACATGCATTTAATGTGTTTTACTGGTGATAGCAATGCAGGCATAACAATTCCCCTGACCCCAAGAAGCATGTTAGCAACCCCAGAGACAAAGCGGGCTGGCATTTCACTCCAGGACTGAGTTCATGGTGAATGGTCGGATTTAAGACATTGGGGGCAGGAACAGTGACAGATAAATTATATTTATGTGCAGCAATTGATCAAAAAGAGGGTTTAGGGTATCAGACATCCAAAGGAAAGTTGTAAACAGACTCCAGTATCTACTCCCAACTTTACAGAATAGGAGCCTTTAAGTCTGGCATTCCTGTATTTCAGTAGTACCCAGGCTGGCAACTAGAGGGCTCTTGCCTTTGTCCAAGTGAGTTATCAGTCCCCTGCAAGGACAGCTGTTGACAGCTAGCCAGGACATCTCCTCTGGCAGAGATCATTTCCTCTGGTACTCCAGCTTGAGCATAACTCCTTCCATTCCAAGAAAGACAGCTCCAGTCCTTGACCACGCCTGACCTTTTAACCCATGTAGCCCTCCCTAGGCAGAAGTCCTAGGAGGATAGCATCATTAACAGCACACCTTCCCAGGACTATACATGGGGAGACATTACATTTAATGTAAAAATATATATACCCTTACCCTGAAATGCACCACTGCCTTTTACACTCCTTGTCATTAGCCAGAGGATACAGCCAATTTAAAGACAAAGGCCATGTTTTCACAAAAAATGAAAAAGGTCCACTAATACAGTACAACCTCTCTATACTCCCAGTACCTGCTGCACTTACCTCCTTGGGTTCTTAGCTATCGTTGCCCGTGCAGCTGCTGTAGAGGCTGGGGAATTTGAAAGCCCCACTCTTCTTCCCCTTCTTTTCTTAGGGCTTCCAGGACTGATCAGAGCGATTCTGATTGGAAAAATTCAGAATTGCTCTGATCCATCTCGGAAGACATAAGGGAACAAGAGCAGAGCTGTCAATTCCCCAACCATTGCATCAACTGCATAGACAGTGACAGATCATCACCCTTGGAGGTAAGTGCAGCAGTGAGGATGTAAAATATTAGTTTGCCTTTTCATTTTTTTGTGAGAAGGTGAAATGAACCCCTTTCACACAGGTGGACTCCACCAGAAGATCCACCTGCTCAGCGGGGGATCTGTCTATTGATCCCCACTGAGCAGGCGTATGACAGGTCCATGTCCGATTCTGCTTATGCAGAGCGAACATGGTCACAGTCAACTTTTCTTGGATGTAAATAGACTGCAGGTTTGTTTATACCTGACTTTCATCTGATCCGGTTACAGGAGGGTGTAAATGGACACATGTCCATTTACATCCACTACTCCATAGAGAGCAATGGATGGTCCAGTCGGGTCCACCTGAAAAACAGACTGTGAACCCAATTGGTCCACCTGTGTAAAGAGGCCTTACACCAACACTTAAAGTAGGGTGGCTAGACAGTAACTGTGGTGCAGTGTAACTCATTTTTTCAATAGCAACTCAAAGCACCACAACGTACAGTTGTGGCCAAATTATTCAACCCCCAATGCTGTAAAGGGGTTTAGGGACTATAGTGTACCAGAATCAAATCCTACAAGGACGTTGTAACTACCCAAATGCAACTAAAATGACATCAATTGTTTATGTAATACAGTAGTAAAAATGGTTCTTATGTGGTTTCTTCATTGCCACAATTATTCAACCCCTTAAAGACTACCACTCTGAAGAACAGAGGTTCATACAGGTGCTTTCCATCAGGTATTGAAAACACCTGTGGATGTCACCGAGCAGCAATCAAGCATAATAAGCACCAATTAGGCAGCTTTAAAATGACTGTGATACTCAGCTCCTTCTAGACATTTACTGGTGTGGTTACAAACATGGTGAAGGCAAGAGAATGGTCCAGGAAGACAAGAGAAGAGGTGATTTCTCTTCACAGGAAGGGCAATGGCTATAAGAAGATTGCAAAGATGTTAAACATACCAAGAGACACCTTAGGAAGCATCATTCGCAAATTCAAGGCAAAGGGCACTGTTGAAACGCTACCTGGTCGTGGCAGAAAGAAGATGCTGACTTCGACTGCTGTGCGCTACCTGAAGCGTAGAGTGGAGAGAAGTCCCCGTGTGACTGCTGAGGAACTGAGAAAAGATTTGTCAGATGTGGGTACAGAAGTTTCAGCCCAGACAATAAGACGCACACTGCGTAATGAAGGCCTCCGTGCCAGAACTCCCAGGCGTACCCCCTTGCTGTCTCCAAAGAATAAGAAGAGTCGACTGCAGTATGCCAAAAGCCATGTGGACAAACCACAAAAGTTGTGGGATAGTGTTCTGTGGACTGATGAAACAAAATTAGAACTGTTTGGGCCCATGGATCAACGCTATGTTTGGAGGGAAGAACAAGGCCTATGATGAAAAGAACACCTTGCCTACTGTGAAGCATGGTGGAGGGTCAATCATGCTTTGGGGCTGTTTTGCTTCTGCAGGTACAGGGAAGCTTCAGCGTGTGCAAGGTACCATGAATTCTCTTCAGTACCAGGAGATATTGGATGGAAACGTGATGCAGTCCGTCACACACACCTGAGGCTTGGGAGACGTTGGACCTTTCAACAGGACAATGATCCCAAGCATACCTCCAAGTCCACTAGAGCATGGTTGCAGAGGAAAGGCTGGAACATTTTGGAGTGGCCATCGCAGTCACCAGACTTAAATCCGATTGAGAACCTCTGGTGGGACTTAAAGAAAGCAGTTGCAGTGCGCAAGCCTAAGAATGTGACTGAACTGGAGGCCTTTGCCCATGAAGAATGGGCGAAGATACCCGTAGATCGCTGCAAGACACTTGTGTCAAGCTATGCTTCACGTTTAAAAGCTGTTATAACTGTAAAAGGATGCTGTACTAAGTACTAAGATTGAATGTCACTTGGGGGTTGAATAAAACTGATAATGCTGTGAGCACAGAAAAGACATTTGTGGTTATTTCATTATAACTGTTATGTTATATTTGTCTGACCTACAAGTGCCTCTTTAATGTAAATGTAAGCAAGATGACTGAATGATCAAAAGCAATGTCAAACTGGCCAAAACACTCAATTTCAGTGGGGGTTGAATAATTTTGGCCACAACTGTATAAATAGGGATCCTCTGTACGTTTTGTTGTGGTTTATTGAAGAAAAAAAAATGGTGCTTGTTCTTATGAATGGGCTGCGTTATCACAGTGCACATCATTGTGTGTGAAGTAATTCAAAGCACAACACGTCTGAAAGGGGCTTAGATAAATTTGCTGTGAAATCAAATTTCAGCTGCAAGGATATTGAAGCAATTTATGGGGCAAGGGGTGCAGTTGACCCATCTACATACTGAGGTAGGTACAATTTTTCGCAAACCAACATTTTTTACCTTACAGAACTATGTGACTTGTCAAATCATCTTTTGCAACTACAAGCACAATCCTAAACAGCCATCATGGAAATAAAAAAACAAAAAGGAGGCTTATACAGAAATACAAAGTTTTGGGAATGGCAGAGAAAATCACATCAAGGGTGTGGATGTGAATAGGGAAGGGCATATTTACAAGATTGTACGAAACACCTGAGGCCACATTATCCTTGTATAACAGCAGTTGCACCAAATTACTCTTCATTCATGTGTATTCATACAAGCATTGCATGACTGCTCAAGAAAGGAAGACAGAGATATCTGTCAAGAGCTGACATTTTGCAATATGTAGCAAACTCTACTTTCATCAAGCCTCACTGCAATGTTGTTCATGTGAAAATAAAAGTATGCCTTCCAACTGTCCCTGATTGACAGGAAAATTCATTTTTATCCAAAACGGATAAGGCATGACTTTGATCAAATAGTGTCAATTTATGGCAGGGTTTTGAAGAACCAGGTGCCTGGATTAAATGTCCCAGGCTTTTTCATCTTAAAATTCTGGTATGCAAGACACTTATACTCATAGCAGTCAATAATTTAAACAAGCTGTAAGCAAAGAAAATAAATACTTTCTGTGGTAAGGTGGTCTTAGTGAGTGATACAGGGTAAAGGAACGTGACTTTTTCTTTCAGAAATATACACTTTAAACTGAAACTTTGGTTTTATTGATCTTACTAATGTTCCTTCTTTAAACTCATAGAAACATAGAAGAGTGACGGCAGAAAAAAAAAAAAAAAGACCAAGTGGTCTGCCCCATTTTTTTTTTCTTCATTTTTTTTTACTTTTTTTTAGCTGAGTACAGATCTCTGTTTGTCCCAAGCTTGTTTGATTCCACTTACTGTTGACTGACTCATTACCTTTTCCAGAAGTCTATTCCAAGATTTAACTACCCTTTCGATAAAAATCATTTCTAAGGTCAGTTCTGAAATTTCCTCCTGCTAGTTTGAAGTAATATTCCCGTGTTCTTGATCTTAGCTTTATATTGAAAATAGTGCCCTCCTGAACCTTTTCACCCCCTTGATGTATTTAAATGTTTCAGTCATGTCTCCCCTTTTTCTTCTTTCCTCCAGACGGTACATATTTAAAGGATAAGTTCACCTTTCATAACATGTTACACCCATATTATTCAGGGTGTACACACTGTCCCCCCGATCCCTCGTTCTGACAGCTAGCGGGGGATCTTCTCCCCCCCCAGCTGTCACAGATTTTAAAAGATTTGGCCATGCGGGTCTCCGCTAGGGTTGCCACCTCATCCCTTTAGAAACTGAACACAGCTTCTGAGGCTAATTTAATGCAGCTGAGGCAATTAGTTAATTTACCACTTTAATCAGCCATGGAACCTGTGTAATTAATAGGTGTTCGGTTTCTAAAGGGATCAGGTGGCAACCCTAGTCTCTGCCCACCTGGCCACATCATTCATTCACAGAGTTCTGTAAATGGGAAGCTACAAGTCCTGACAGCCTTTGTAACTGTCGTCTTGTAGTTCTTCTGCTGTTTTAGCCATCAGACCAATCACCATCGGACACAGCTGATCACAGATCATGGTAAAGGGCCGCTGTGATTGGTCCATTACCGTGATCTGCAATCAGTTGTGTCCAATGACATAACTGATCTTGATGTAAACACAGTTGCCGGTTATCGGCAGTACATTCCACATGCTGTCACAGTGTGAGGAGAGGAGAGCCAGTAACCAGAAAGTGTGAAAGTGGACATCTACAATGATAATCAGGGCACTGATCAGTGCAGCCCCAACATTATTCATCAGTGGTCATTAGTGCTGCCAGTCGGTGGCACCTATCAGTGCCTCCTACATTTTTTAGTCATTGCTGCCAGTCAGGGTCCATCAGTGCTGCCAGTCAGTGTCACCTATCAGTGCCCACCAGTGCCTCCAATAAAGTACCGTCTTTCAGTGCTGCCTATTAGTGTCCATCAGAGCCACATATCAGTGCAGCCTCATCAGTGCCCAACAGTGGTCATCAGTGATGCCAGTCAGTGGCCTTCAGTGCTGCCAGTGAGTTCCTCCTATCAGTGCAGCCTATAAGTGCTGCCTATCAGTGCCTTTCAGTGCTATCTATTAGTGCCATCAGTTTTGCCTATCAATGCACCCTCATCAGTGCCTATCAGTGCTGCATATCAGTTTCCATCAGTGCAGCGTCGGCAACACACATCAGTGAAGGAGAAAATGTACCTGCTTGCAAAATTTGTTAACAGAAACTAAGAAAAAAGGGTTTTTATTTTTCAAAATTTTTGGTCTTTTTTTTGTTTGCTTTGCAAAAAAATTAAAAACCCAGTGCTGATTAACCGCTAGCCTACAGGGCACGTATACCCCCTTCCTGCCCAGGCCAATTTCCAGCTTTCAGCGCTGTCACATTTTGAATGACAATTGCGCGGTCATGCAACACTGTACCCATATGAAATTTTTATCATTTTTTTGTAACAGATAGAGCTTTCTTTTGGGGTATTTAATCACCTCTGGGTTTTTTATTTTTTGCTAAACAAACCAAAAACCACTGAAAATTTTGAAAAAAAAAAGTTTTTTTTTAAAGTTTTTGTTATAAACTTTCGTAAATAAGTGATTTTTCTCCTGGTGTGCGCTAATGAGGCTACAGTGATGGGCACTGACAGGCTGCACTGATGGACACTGATAGGTGGCATTGATGGGCATTGACATGCATCACTGATGGACACTGAAGGGCAGCACTCATATATGGCACTGATGGGCGGCACTGATAGGCAGCACTGATGGGCACTGATAGGCTGCATTGACTGGCAGCACTGATAGGTGGCACTGACTGGCATTGATAGGTGACACTGACTGCCACTGATAGGTGACACTGAAAGGCAGCTCAGATGGGCACTGATATGTGGCATTGATGTACACTGGTAGGCACTGATATGTGGCATTGATGTGGCACTGGCAGGTGGCATGGATGAGCACTGACAGCTGACACTGATGGACACTGACAGGTGGCACTGCTGGGGCTACACTGATCATCAGGGCACACTGATCATCAGTGCCCCGATGATCAGTGTAGATGTCCCCTCAGAGGGATGCCAATTACCGGCTCTCCTCTCCTCTCGAGCTGTCAACATGACAGCTTGTGAGGAGAGAAATGCCAATAACCTGCATTTCCCTATTTACATGCGATCAGCTGTGATTGGACACAGCTGATCACATGACCGAGCCAAAATCTTCAGTTCTTTCCGTTGATCGATGATCCACTGTGTCCGAGGGACACAGTGCACCACCGATCGCCGCGCACTCCCGGAGCCGTGCATGCGCGGTTAGAATGGGAGGACGTCATATGATGTCCTCCCAGAACGAGAGAACCATCATTACCTTATATTGCGGGCGGGAAGCGGTTAAATACCACCAAAAGAAAGCTCTATTTGTGTGAAAAATGATAAAAATTTAATATGGGTACAATGTTGCATGACCGCGCAATTGTCATTCAAAGTGCAACAGCGCTGAAAGCTGAAAATTGGCCAGGGCAGGAAGGGGGTAGAAGTGCCTGGTAGGCAAGTAGTCAAAGTATATGTAAACCCTTACCTTGTAAAACAACCCATTTAGGTTAAAATATAAATCAAAACATTTGTGTATAGACATAAAATTTTTTTTTACAAACACCTGTTTTCCCCTTTTTTAAACATGATCACATGCCCTCTGTGGCATAAGGAGCTCAGGGAGAAGAAAACAGCAGCACACTGATCTTCCCAATGAATGGCTGTGTGGGGGAGGTGGTGTCAGGACAAGTCTTATCATTAGAGGAGAGCAGGCTGAGTTCCCAGCACAGCTAGAAAACTGACATTGGTGTTTTCTCCTGCCTAGCGTGATCAGTTTTTAATAGGAAAGCAAAGGGACTGGCAAGAACACCAGGGATTTCCCACAAAGGAAGCAATACAAAGAGAACAATATGCTTTTTCATACAGGTACATGGCAGAGAAGGCAAATATCAAGAATATGAAATGTTGGGTTTACATATTCTTTAAAGTGTTACTAAACCCACAACAGTAAAATCAGTCTGTATATGCTGTAAAGCATGCTTGTTATACTCAGTGTGGAACCTAAGGGGTTACTCCTCCTTATTGTGTAAAAAGGATGTTTGATCCTGACTTCTCTGATCCTCCCCTTTTTGTACTGTCCCCATCCGCTGACAGTACAGAACTCCACGAGTCACTCTGCACATGCACAGTTTAGCGTGTATGGCTAGAGGGTTTTTTTTGTCTTTGGGAGGGTGCATGTAATCAGCACAGGACCAATCAGCACTGTACAGACAGAGGGTCAGGGGTCATGCAGCCTCATAGGACAGTCAGAGCAGAATGAAAACTCCTCCTAGAAAGCTTTAACCAGTGCTCAGCTGGACACTGATAGAAGTCACAAGACCGCTGATGGGAAAAGGTATTTAGCAGTTTCTATTTACTAAAATAATTGCATTTCCATGTTCTGTGTACTTTGGGGGACCAGATATAATGAATGCAGGGTCCTTGGGTTAGTAACACTTTAAAGGAAAAGTTCACCTTTTGGACAAAAAAATAAATGCACATTTGTTTTTGCAGGTAAAAAAATCTGCATTTATTATTTTTGTCCAAAGGAGCCTGGAAAGCATTGCACCTGCGATCAGTAGATTGCTGATGACATGCAAGTCTCCTGCAGAACTGTCAGATTATCTGCTAGCTGTACGGGATGTATGGTCAAGCAGATATTCTGACAGGAAGCTTCAATGAACTACCACTGCGCTCCACACCGTGGTACTTCATTGAAAACTACAAGCCGACAGCCGCTAAGGGTGTTGGGACTTGCAGTTCATTCATTCACTGTAGTCCGTGAATGAATGACGCAGCAGTGTGGGCGGAGCCCCGCATGGCTGCTCTGTTTTCCAATCTGACAGATAGTACAGGGGGACTTCTCACCACATTATCGGTCAGAGGCAGGGCGTGGCTGTAGCTGTGGGAACTTGTTACCTAAAAACAGGTGGAACATGTAACATGTTCCCAAAGGTGAACTTATCCTTTAACGTCTATTTTTGCTGGACATCTTGGTCTGTTAAAGTTGAAAAATAACAGACTTACTGGCCAGATCACCAAGTGATAATAAAGGAAAAAAGCAAAAAAAAAAAAAAAAAACGAATGCAGCCACCACATGTAAGAATTAGTATGCTGCAATAAATATGTTTGTTTTTAGGTTTTATACTGCTTTAAGGGCTGTGACAGCTAAACCTTGTGCACAGGAGGGCGGGGCCTACTCTCAGGGGCACTGTCAGCCAATGAGGGAGAGAGCAGAAGAAAGGAGAAGGACAGCAGCCATGCTCTGGAGAAGCAGCCAGGTGTGGTGAGCCAAGCTACAATGATCTGGCTGGGACAGGGTGAGTGTCCCTCTCATGCTGAGGAAGGCCTGGTGTCCCTGTTATGGGCACTCCTGCTAGTGAGAGACCTGTGAGAGTGGGAGAGCCTGTGCCTGTTCAGAGGGGGACCGAGCACTGAGCACTGTTTGAGGTGGAAGAATCAATCCACAACATATAAAGCTGCCTGCGTTGTATAGTACGGCATCTGAAATGGCTTCTACAGAGAGTCAGCAGCCTCCAGTGCCATGTGCTCTTAGGTAAGTTCACAACTATGCATGTGTGGTTGATGCGTTTTTGAGGCCCGTTTTTCAGCGTGTTTTGCATTTATTCATTCACCCCCACATATGCAGACATTTTGGTTTTGGTTTCAGTTTTCAGCCATGTGTATTCTGAATTTGTGGTATCGTTTCGGCACCAGAACATTCATTTTGGTGCACCACTACATTTTTGCTTGCACATGCTTGGATGAAAGATACCAGCAGAGCTTCGCCTCATTTGCGAGCTTCCCCTTGGATTTAACCACTTCCCATCCAGCCCATGTATATAAACAGCCGAACAGGAGCAGTGCAGGGGCAGGTGGCCGTTTATAAATGACCTCCCTGCTCCCAGGGAGCGCGCAGCACCGAAATCCGGTGCCCGCTGTGTCCTCTGGACACAGTGGAGCGCCGATCATTTTATGGGACCTCTTTGTGAGGTCCCGATCATGTGATCACTGACTGTCCAATCAGTGATCACATGAAGAGTAGTAAGCAATGATGTCACTTCTGACATCATTGCTTACTACGTGTGAAATCTGTGAATGATCACAGAGATCACATGGTACAAGGCTATTCACAACAGCCATGTACCATGTGACAAGCTGTGACCAATCACAGCTCACACAGTATTTCTCAATGGCTGCAAGAATGCAGCTAGAGAGAAGGAGAAATGATTGCTTTTACAGCCTTTATGGGTGTAAAAGCAATCAGTGTAAAAAAAAAAAAAAATCTTCATCACCCCCTACAAGTAGTACAGTGTCACTGTGGTGACACTGTACTGCTAGGGTGACAGTATGTAACGAAAAAAACAAAACAAAACACATAAATAATATAAAAAAAAAATGAAATAAAAATGTAAAAAAAATTTTTTGAAAAATTATAATTTTTGGTTATAAACTAATTTGGGTTTTTTTTTTTTTTAAAAAAGATAATTAAATACATTTTGGCCAAGATTTATTTGCAAAATTTTATAAGAAAAACACTTTTTTCAAAATTTTTGGACTTTTTCATTTATATACTGTAGCTAAAAAAATAAAAATCCCAGTGGTGAATAAATACCACCAAGATAAAGTTTTATCTGTCTCAAAAAAATGCTAAAAAATTAATATGGATACAGTGTTGCATGACTGTGCAATTGTCATTCAAAGTGTGATAGCGCTGAAAGCTGAAAATTGACCTGGACAGGAAGGGGGTAAAAGTGTCCGGACTGGAAGTGGTTAAAACAACTGCACTTGCCATGCACAGTATATTTACCTTTAGTCAGTGCAGCTGTTATAAACCACAGGGCACCATACAGCCAACCTTACAGCCCCCCCGATTTACTATGATTCAGTTAAGGATGAAAACAGTGAGCGATCGGTAACAATCACACATTGTGCTCATTCAGGAAAGAAAGAGCTGGTAAATGTGACATATTTACCTTTCCCCCCCTCTCCATCCTGAAGGATCCTATTGTGTGCTTATAGAGGAAAAAGAACAAATCGGCGCTGGAAGGGGACCAAACTTATACAATTCTGAATATGGTAGATGGTCAGTGTAAAATAAAATTAAAAAAGAGGGAGGAATAAGGGATATATAAGAATATAATAATGATAAAAACCAATAGTGATAGGATAAAAAATGACAAACAAAACATAAAAGTCCATAATCCGGGGATCCTAAGTGGGGTATGGCAGGCGAAGGCAGCTCCCCTAGAGCGAAGGAGTACTCTGCAGGAGATAAAAACGGACAGAAGGAGGCGCCAATCTAAGCGTAGAGGGTTATTATTTTATTAATAACATAGGGTATAAAAACTACTCACAAACATGAGGAGTAAGAAAGTATGGTAAGGTGGTCCTTTGGTAAGCCGTGAGTCCACCAACGGTGTGTGAATGGGTCCTGGTCATTCAGGAGGAACGGAGATGGAGCCGTCAGCTGTAAGCAGTGCAGAGAGTTTTTTGAAAATGGCGCCAAAACCAGCGTGGACCGCAAGGAAGACAAGGACTCAGCGGGCGACCAATGGCAGAGCAGGGAAATGTCAGGTGATGTGTTTCAAAGCACTTGCTTCTTATTCAAACCTGACTGGCTGTCTGAAGAAGCTGACAGCTGATAACTAAAATTTCCCTGCTCTGCTATTGGTCGCCTGCCGAGTCCTTGTCTTCCTTGCGGTCCACACTGGTTTTGGCGCCATTTTCAAAAAACTCTCTGCACTGCTGACAGCTGACCGCTCCATCTCCATTCATCTTGAATCACCAGGACCCATTCACACACCGTTGGTGGACTGACGGCTTACCAAAGGACCACCTTACCATACTTTCTTACTCCTCATGTTTGTGAGTAGTTTTTATACCCTATGTTATTAATAAAATAATAACCCTCTACACTTAGATTGGCGCCCCCTTCTGTCTGTTCCTATTGTGTGCTTACTGCTCTCGGTGGGAAGGAGAGGAGGGAAGCTGGTAGTACTGCGGTGGGGGCCTGTGCAGCAGGGGTAATGTATGGTGCACAGGAATGGTGATGGGTGCAGCGAGGGGGGCAAT